CTGTAAAATGGTGCAACTGCTTTGGAAAAACAGTTTTGCAATTCTTCAAACCATTAAACGTGTAGAGTTACCATATGACCCTGCAATTCGGCTCTTATGTTTATACCCAACTGAAATGAAAGCATATGTCTAAACAAAAACTTGTTCAGGAATGTTCATAGCAGCATTTTTAAAGATGGCCAAGAGGTGGAAACAACCCAAATGCCCATCAGCTGATGAGTGAATAAATAAAATGTAGTATTTACACAGAATGGAATATTATTCAGCCATAAAAAGAGTAATAATATATGCTACAACATGGATGACCCTTGAAAACATGCTAAGTGAAAGAAGCCAGACACAAAGGACCACATACGACTCTGCTTATATAAAATGTCCAGAATAGGCAAATCTGTAGAGACAGACTGTAGATGAGTGGTTGCCTAGAGCTGGGGGATGAGATGTGTGGGGGTGATGGCTAAGAGGTATGTGGTTTCATTTTCTTTCAGTGAAAATGTTCTAGAACTGATTGTGGTGATAGATGCATAACTCTGAATATACTAAAAGCCACTGAATTGTACATGTTACGTGGGTGAATTACATGGTATGTGAATTATATCTCAATAAAGTTGTTTTAAAAAGGTTAATAAACAGCAGTTCAACAAGAAAATAAGCCAGACTGCATGTCAAGGCATTTCTCAGAAGAAAAATCACGTATGCACAGTAGAAACTTGAAAAGATCTTCAACCTCATCCCTCATCAGGGAAATACTAATTAAAAACACAGTAGGATACTCGTTTGATTGGCAAAAATTTCAAACTCAAGACAATTGCTCTACATGTAGAGGAAGTGGAGAAGTGAGGGAAACTCATCCACTGCCAGCAGGGTGATAAATTGGTACAACCACTTTAGAAAATAATACAGCATTATTTGTAGAGAGTTAAAGATGCAAGTATTCATGACCTGGCAATTCCACTCCGAAGTATATATCTAACGAAATTCTTCCAGTTGTGTGTTGGGATCACGTATAAGAATAGTCACAGCAGCAGTATAAAATTCAAAACCACATAAAACTAAACAATATAATATTTAGGGAATATAAGTATATGTAGTAAATAAACCTGTTATTAAAACGTCAAGAAGAGAAAGAGGAACACGAAATTCAGGATGGTGAGTATGAGAAGGAATTGGGGTTACCTCACGGGTGATTCGGGGTTTAAAGATGTTCCTCTTCTTAAACTGGGTGGTGGGGTGTAGATCCATTATAGGGATGGTGACAGGGGTACCAAGCACAGCGTTATCCAACAGCCTGACATTGAGGGAAGATTTAGGCAAACTCGGAGCAGTTTTTCCATGCAGTTCAATCTTGAATGCTAATAATGCTGACCCTGAGTTTCTAGAAAAGGTTAACATATTTAGCATCTTCTATTTAAGAAGCAAAAGGGATAAAATGTTCTTATCCAGGAAAAAAGCAAAGAAAAAATACTAAGGACTGTACAAGAAGGGAGCAGCAGCAGAATGGGAGTATTTAGAAAGGTTTCCAATAAAAGTGGTTAAAACGAAAAGTTTTCTAGTTCAAGGTGAACTTCATTTATTGGACCACAACTTCTTTATCTTCAGTTCCCCTAACTAAAGCAGACATTGCTGTAAATAAGTAAAACCCCACACTCTCATTTCATTCACTTAGTGGTTGATTTTCTCTCTTCAGATCCTGCTCACACTAAAAGATGAACCAGAAACATGCGGAGGAAGAACCTATTCACTACTCCCGCTGCTCCTGGGTGCGTGACTGAGGGTGAAGCATCCACCAGCGCTGCAAGGGGTCCATAGTATTTTTTTGCTGCCTCAGTCCCCAGAGCCTTCAAGCAGAAGTGGCAGTAGATTGTTGCCAGTCATCCAATCCAGACTTTTACTGAGATGACAGGAAAACACATCAGCTGGATTTTGATGGAACTTGGCAGTGGGGACATTCAACTGATGCATTATATACCCCGTCAGAGCACACGTGTATCTTTTACCCCTTTCCCCCCTCCCCCAACCTGCTTAGGTCTTCTCTGTCCCTCTCCTGCTACCACACAGAGATGATATAAAAGAGGCTCTTTGGCTATTTGCATTTTGCTTCCTCTTCTTTTCCAGATTGCAGTATTAAGCTTTACTTCCTACAAGCCTAAAATCCCCAAAACATTATCTACCAAAGTTTTTCTTCCCTTTTCAGAGGGTTTGGGGAGAGGAGGGAAGCTTCCATCCCAAGTTCCGCGGAGAGCGGAGAAGAGTCGGTGTGCTGCTGACCACTTGAGCCATGGTAAAGGCACCCTTTGGAATTACTGATTTCTAAAATTAATAAAGTAATTCTATTTTTATTTTCTTTTTTTCCATTTACTAATTTCCCAACAATCAGTATTCACAAACGAGACTGAGATGGGACCAACTTCTCATTTTATTTCATCGCTGAGCAATTTTTTAAACTTCATTTTAGAAATGTGAGCTATAAAGAGATGTTTTATTCTTACGTTTTCTTTCAGCAGGTGGTGGGTCCAGGCTGTTCCCCCAGGGCAGCTCCCGCACCTGGGAGGCCGGTCTGTGCAAATGTCTCCATTATCAGACCACCGTAGACAGGTCCTCAAGGGGCGTGTGAATCTGTATCCAGGTGCACCTTGTTTACCTAAACAGTTCATCGGAGTGACGCAGCGCAGCCTGGCTGCTTCCTACCTGCCTGTCCTCTGTTCTCTCGCTTCCTCATCTTTCCCAGCTCCTCTCTCTGCCTCTGCTGGAGAAAAAGTTGAAAGGTGGGCAGCAGACACCACCAAAGGATTGACTTAGCTGCCCTAGCGAGTTATCGATGAGAATCCAGAGTCTGGGGTTTCTCCAACCATGTGCTATAGACTCAGCATTGAAAGCCCAAAAGAAAGATGACACCCAAAAACCAAAGAGAAAAGGGAATTTGTTGCCTTCCTAGTGAATGAAAACAAAGGTTTGAGTGCATGGAAGCATTTTGTTTGCATGTAAAGGATGAGGCCTACCATTTGCAAGAGAAATGAGAGAATGTGTTACAGATGTTCCTGGGACTGCTGGCTGTCATTCGAGGACCATCTTAACTGTTTGCTAACTTGGTTGTGGATTGGTTAGGAGACGAATTAGAATTCCTTCATAGTCCCTGCTGATGTTTAGAATTGGGAAATAAGGTAGTTGATCAGACTCAGCATATGGATCCTGTGAAAAAGGATAAGAGTGTGTAATCCCAGTAAAAGAACTTTTAGACCAACTAGAGTGCTTGGAATTACCCTCGGTAACCAATGAGAATTGAATCCTCGAGCTAATTTCCTGCATTCATGTGCTGATCAAGTGGTAAGACCAGACTCCAGATCTCTCCCTTCATTTACCCAAGTACATTCAAGTCATTTTTACTGGTACTAGACTTCTCTTGGTAATAAACCAGGATCCTAGGATCCTCCCTCCAACAGCAATGTCATTGCCTAACCCTTACCTCCTCCCTCAAAACAAGTGCTATTTCTGAAGACAGACAGACAATGGTTCAAATTTCTGCAGCGCCTATCAGTGACTTGTGGAATGGGGAGGATGGACATCAGACCCCTGCCCCTATTTGTATCTGCTGATTAAGATAAGAGTAGAGCTCTAACACAGAAAGAACATTTGGAATCACAGTGTGTTCTGTTTTCTTTGGGATACTTCAGGAAACACATCTCATTGCCTTGGTTCCTTAGGATGAACCACAAGCCAGTGTTTTAGGGATGTCCTATGAGGTTGGATAACAAGAAAAGTTTATTCTAATGGCCAGAAAGATTATTTTTCTCTTCCTTGTTTAAGCATCAAGTAAGGACCAACAATGTCAGGAATAATTAATACACCGTTTCTCAAAATGTAGTTTTGAGGGAGCCTGGTCCCTACCCGAGGCCTTAAGACATCTCTAGAGTTGCAGTCTGAAATTGTACATTTTTTATAAACACTCGCTTGATTCTCATGCCCACTGAAATTCGAGAACGGCAGCCACAAGTGAATAGACTCTGAAAGCTGAGATAGCAATGGCCTGTCGCCAAAGGGCTGGGTATGCCACATCCCCTCTTTAGATCCACCGGTTCCCTTGGGTAAGATGGAGCACAATCCCACCTGCCATGATTTTAGGGCCTGATAGGCCCTGAAGTACAGTGGAAGTAAACGGGTGCCTCATGGGGCGAAGGCTGAGAGAGAAGCCCTTAGAATTGGCTGGGCATGGACAAAGCAGGAGAAAGGACTTGGTGACCAAACACAGAGGCATGGACATAAATTGTACACATCCTGCAACCTGTAAACTTTAGCTTCAGATAGACTCTTTTACCAGTGGGTGGTAAAGTGATTTCAGTAGAGGAACATGTTTCTCAGGAGCTGCTAGGTGGTTCCTCACTGCAGATGGTTGCTTCAAGTGGACGTTGCTATCACGATAGAATTCGGCATTGCTCTGGGATCTGTGACCTCAAAAGAGAACCGTGGGATTGTGCTTTTCCTGCCCTCTCCCATTCCCAAATCCCTGACACGAGGCGCATTGTCTGAAACAGGGCTCCTGGTGACCTCTTTTAGGCCAAACCTGGTAACAGAATGGGCCTCTTAGGCCATTCGCCATAGACAGTTTCTCTTATTTTCAACTGATTTGGAGGGGGAGAGATTTTTGAAAATGATAATTTTGGTAACCTATAATGAATGCACATCCAACACATTTCCGTGTGCAAGGGTTCACACCAAGTGATTTTGCCCATAGTCGGAGGTCAAATTCATATACTGTACTTTCTGCAAATCTGGGCCAGTGCCTCTGCGTGTCTGAGGATAATATACCGTGAAGATAAAAGGGAACACAAACAATAGTGCAGTCTTGGCAGAAGATGGCAGAAGGCAGCACAGCGTGCCACTGTCCCGGGTGTTCACACTAAGCAACGTATTCCATATTTGCCTCAGATTCCAGTTACCTCTGATTAGTGGATGTGGACATGGAATTAAGAAAAAAGTAGTTAAGGATATTTATCGAGTCAGACTGACACCTTAGAATAAGGCTTTTACTGTTCTAGAAGCAATCTTCCAGAAGATGAAATGATCCAAGAGTCCCCAAAAATATTTATTTATACAAAGATTTTGAGAGTAATATTTGTATTTGTCTTTATACCTCAGTCTACGCATCTGGGGCCAAGTCATGGTGTGGCACACAACGTGCAGCTTCCCCCTGTGCCCCACACGTAGCACCTGCTTCCAGGAACACCAGATGAGCACAGGGTCTTAGAGGGTGAGGGGGGAAACCCATAATGCCCCAAAGGCCGCACAGACCCGAAATTCAGATACGTGCACCCTGACCTGGAAGGTGTCTAGCCAAACGTCCAAGGGGAGATACGACCTAGGGAGAAGGCGAGAGGAGGGACCCAGAGGGCGGATGGGAGAAGGTTAATCCCACCTGCTTCTGAGTTCAGCCTATCTGTAGAGCCCAATATAGTTGGTGGCCTGGGAACTACATTACCTGGACTTCTTCCCTGTAATGACCCTTGATGCTGAGTGATGTCAAGAGGACATTTTGCAAAAATAACAGATTTGTCCTTAATCCCAAGTAGTATGAGATACAATGCTGGGACCATGTCTTAGTAACCTGTCTGAAGAAAAATGCTTGCCTTGTATAACGTAATCCAGATTCCCTAGAGCAGATGTGGGGCAGCGATGAGAAAATCTGACCTCAGATCAGAAGTGTCTTCCAGTCTGGCCCTGTCCCAGCCTTCTCCGCCCTTCCTCCTCCCAGGTATCTCAAATCCCATTGCCACACAACGTGTCGACTTGCCATCCCTCTTCCTCTGTCCCCACCACCTCTGTTTACGTCACAGAAAATCCGTGTTCTGGAGAGTTCGGCCTTCCCCTAACCAAACCCACACTTTCTTTACCACAGTGATTCTCAGAGCCAGCGAGAAAGAGGAATGTTCCAAAAGGGAACCTCCGTCTCAGCCATTTGCCTGGAGCTGCGGGGCGTGGGCTCCAGGCCTCGAGGTGAGGTCTGTTGCTCTTGTGTTTCCCGAGGAGCAGGCAGGCAGGCAGTGGCAGTTCTCTCTCCTCTCTCTCTGTCGCAGGTGGGGTCTCAGCTACACTTACAGGACTTCACCACCATATTAGAGAGATGTTCCACCTTGGGGGTCCTCCCGACATAGTACAGGATGGTCAGGGGCTCCAAGTCCTGGGGCACGCAGCAAGGCGAGGCCGATGCTTCAGGATTCAAGGTGTTGTACAGGCCCAGCACCTGGGGAGGATACATCACTTAGAGGTTGGAAGACCAAGCCTGAAGCCCTCTACAAGCCCTAGGGACTGTTCCAGAGGCTGAGCCAGCGGTAGACCAGCCACGGGTACGATTTCAGTTCGGGCGAGTGACTAGTGCTGTTTGTCCACAGAGAAGGAATGGAGAGCGTCTGCACTTGTTTGCGTGTTAACAGTTTCAGCATATAACAGATATTTAAACTGATAATGGAATTCTCTCTGTGTTAAGGAAACACTCCTATATTGGTCCTCCTAGCTCTCACTGGTCACTCTGGTGAGAAATGCCCTCACGAAACATTACCATTTGGTAAATGCCAGAGTGTGGGGCCTCAGACAGGATGCAGTAATAATGAGCTACAGGGAACCATGCTTTGTAAATTACTGTTTTTGTTTCCCCTTGAGGGGAGGACAAGCTGGTTTCAGAGTCATGGACTTCCCTCCCTCTCCCCTTTTCTTCCTGTTGTTTCATATAGCTTCTTCTTTGTGCTTTACAAGGTCTTTAAAAATAACTTTTCTACAGTCAAGAGGCTGGAATTATCAGAGCTCTTTAACTGGTGGCAGAAGTCATTCTTCCCCAACATTCCTTGCCTGCCCTGCGCACACACCTCTGACGTATAGGGTGGCATACGATAGCTAATTAATTTCAAGAATGGTACAAAAGCTTTAGAGAGAGCAAATCAAAAGTCTGGTTCAAACTATGAAAGAGATTACAAAAGGCAGAATGTGACCAAGTAGAGTTGGCCCGAGTGCCAAGATCAGAACCTTCACCGAAGGGATGTTACTCACCCCAGATCATCATTTGCTCATTCAACATGCAGTCCTTCCTGCATCCTTTTTAATAAAGTGGCCTAGTCGACTCGGCCCCAGTGCCCCACAGGGCATGAGCCCTGCTCCGTACCTTGCTGTGGGTTGTGTCTGCACTGCGGAGGTATGGGCAAGGGCCTGAGCAGAAGTTGGCGTAATATCCCTTAGGTTCATGGACCCATTTCCAACCCAGATCCTGTCGAAAGTCAATGTAGAGAGGGCGCACACAGCAGTTCTCCTCCACGTTGCTACAACACAGAAAACATGGATAGAAAATCAACCTAAAGGAAACTACCGATATAAAAAAACTTCATACGTGGCTCATATTTGCACTTGGAGTACTTCCTGTCATCATAAGAGGTGGCTTTAATCAATGGAATCCCAGTTTCAAGTTCACTGAGCTGTATAGACTATAAAGGCATTTTCTATGGTGAAGACCATGATCCCAAAGACATAATAGACATATCAATGATGCATGAGGAAGAGAAAAAAGGCAAAGGTGGCCCTGCCTCCTTTTACATTATGAATCAAAGCAGACATAAATTGCTCCACATAAAACCAAGCACTGAGTGTTATTAGCCAACTCAGCTTTGTTGAGGTTGGTTTTATTGTTACCTTCCTAATGTACACCCAGAAATTAACTATATACTATAGCTTATATACTGTAGTAGATGACTGCTTAGACTAAATCTTGAGACCATTGAATCAAAATGAGGCATATGCTTCTGTTAGACATGATTCCTGGATCACCCCAAATGTGATTACCAGGCTACTTCAGTTTTGTTGCCTGCAGAAATCCATTTGGCAGTCTCCCTCATCAAGTGGGCAGCTAGTCTATACTTCAGTATCTGCTGAGACCTAGAACTTGCTACTGCCACAGGCAAGTGTTGGCCAAAATCTGGCTTCTTGTGGATTCCCAGGGTGAACCATGGCAGAGACCCTTGGATATTAATTCAATAGCAGTTCCTACCCCCTTCTCCCTTGCCACCTCCCATTACAGCGTCTAGAACACCAGACACTTGTTTTCTGGAGCTGCCTTAGAGGTAGAAGTGGTCACGTAACCCAGCGATGACAGACATGAGGAGAAGTATGCAGGTGGTAAGGGCAAACTCTGGCAGAAATATTTGATTCTATATACAACTCGTAGACGGAAGAGAAAAGCTGTTGGCTCTGCCTCTTCCCACTTCTCATCTCGAGCGTGGACAAGACACCTGGAGCTCTAGCAGTCACTGAGACTGTACACAAGAGAATGCAAAGCAAGCCAACATATGGCAGACTGAAGAGAGAGAGCCCGTATCCCCAACTGCATAATTAAGCAGCCAGACCACCCCTGAGCCTGCTGTCATAGGCTTCTTGTGAACAGTCCTGTATGGTTTAGGCGACTGTTACTTACAGTCAAGTGCATTTGTTCCTAACTAATTAAGTGCCACATAGAAAAAATCCACGTGCCAGCCTTCAGACAGTTGGAGGCAACCACATCGCCTTCCCAACCCTTTCCGTTCCCCAAGCTCGACATTCCTCATTCATTCAGTTGTTCCTAATAGGACATGGTCTCAGATCTAAAAATTTTCCAAGTCATTCTATTCTCCCCAGCTCCATCCACGCATCCACCTCTTCTGCCAAACTGACACATTCATGCTCCTGCCTTTACTGGAAGTGCTTCATCCTCCTGAATCCCCACCTACCGAAACCTCACTTGTCCTCAAAGGCTCAAATCCCACACCCCCTTCTGAAGCCTTTCTTGTATCCATAGATGAACTCCAAATTCTTAGAGCACTTTATCCTTCAGACCTCATGGATGTCATTTTTCTACCTTTCTGTAATCGCTGTGCATGCTCTAGCAGCTCCCTCCTTTGTAAACAAGAAGCCAAACTGCTTCTAAATAAGGGGCTCTTTTTTTTTTTTTTTTTTTTAATCTTTTCACAGCAGCTACCCAACTACTTCTGAATTAGTTCGTTCACTTCTCTAGCTCAGGTTCCTCCCTGCAGATGGAGGCTGCCCTATTTTCCCTCATCCAGTAGCATCCTCGGGCCCTTCATAGGGAACTGAGCACTCCTTTCATGGAAATTCCTGCGTTAATCTCCTCGCCATGCAAACACACCCTACGAGTACTTTCACAGAGCGGCTTCAGCCAAGCCTCTCCAGTCCAAACCATTTTAGCGACACTCTCCTTCCCATGTACTTTATCCAGGTCCTTACAGAACTGGGTTGCAGAAAAAACGTGGGGCTTCCAGAAAAATAAAGAGATTCGTAAGAGGTTTTAAATCTTCTTTTTCCTGGAGATGTTTGTGAATAGCATCCAGGACTGTCGGCGGAGCGCGGCTTAGGCCCGGGGCCTGCCCCACACTGCGCGTACCCAGTAAATGCTGTCTCAGGAGTTCACAGATCCTGAGCGGGCCCCAGGCTCACCTGAAGCAGTAATTCGTGTCCAGGGCCCGCTTCTTCCTCTGACCCCCCTGGCCCGGGTTGTCAAGCCGATGTGGAGGAATCATCATGAGGATTAGATGAGGGTTGTGGTGGTCCTTCTGCTTCCTGAGGCGCCCCAGATCTCCACGGCCATGATCATCCTCACTGTCCACGCCTGCAGAAGGGAAGGAAGATGACCATCTCCTGTCTAAGGAAGGGAGAGGGGGCTGCTTTCTCACCCCATCCCATCACGCCCAGGAAGAGGGACAGTGTGGTCTGCGAGGACGGCGTGCTAAGGTGCAGCTTCATGCCACAGCAAGAAGAGGAGGACCAGCATCAAAGAAACCACGAGATGCCCCGTGAAGGTCAGTTCCTTCATGAGTCTTGTGCATACAACTTCCAAAGGGCAGCGAGCCCTTCCTAAGAATCTCCTGGGGATCTCGAGGGATCCATGAGGCTTCTCCAGCTACCTAACATTCCTTTGGGCTGTCTGTTTAGATTCTGCAACTTAGAATCTTCAGGTGTGTGAGTTACCTCTTATGATCCGAATTGGTCAAGATAGCACAGAAGTCCTTCCTCTAATTTAAGGTGTCACAATTTAAGATAGCTTGAATGGGAGCCAGAGGAATGAGACTGAGTAATTATTACCATTTACATTGCACTTATAGTTTCAAAAGTGTTTTTACTATAAAACTCAGACAAGCTAATGAAGCGTGTGATAAACAGCTTAGCAAACTCTGGGAAAAAAAATAAAACCTGTCATATCATCTGAAAAGAAAAAGACTGGAGACTGAATTAGAAAGAGTCTCAACTAAAAGGAGACCTATTCTGTGACAGGCAGCTGTCAGTCTCCACCAAGGACAGGACCATGAGGAATGAAATTTGCATAGTGACAGGAGGACCTGGGACCTCACGAAGGAGCACTAAGTCTGTGAGATAAATGAGAGGCCTGGATTTCCAGTTTCCTTTCCTGAAAATCTTTATGAACAAAACTGAAGCAGGAGGATTTCGTCCTAACCTGGCCTCTAGGGAATGACTCCTAAGGTTTTCTGAGTTCCAAGATTTTGGGATTAGAATAACAAATATTTGGCTTTTTTAAAAAAAAGAGCCTCTGAAATAGAGCCCATGAAAAGTAGAAGGTTTGCCCACAGCTTGGAGCCCAGAGAGGCCGGCATCTTTTTCTAAACAAGCCTTTAACTTCAGGTTTTGACTTGGTCGGTTTGACCTTGACAAACCAGCTGGCTTCAGGTGTGCCTCAGTTACCCCGCATGGGACTATGAAAGGAAAAGACAACGACCCTGAAATCCAGAGATTGTCTAGGTTGAGCACCTTAGAAAACCAGAAATGTCTCTCAAGTATCTTGGCATCTCAGCACAAACAGCTCGACCCTGGAGCAGGCATTCAAACCCAGAGGCAAACTCCTGGGCAGGGATCAGGTGGCTCTGCAACACCTGGCGGGCTCAGTAGTCAACACATTCAAATTCATAGCCACCAAAGTTTGTTTATTTTAGGGAAGGGGAAGATGATGATTTGAGCATTCCTGGCATAGTGTTTTATACTTATTATCTCATTTCATTTGTATAACAACCCTGTGAAAAAGGAACTCTTACCCCCATTTTGCTGACTGAGCTCAGGTACCGCTTAGCTACATGATCTCACTGCTCCTACCAGCAAAATACTGTCTTCCAAGTGCTGAAGTATCCTCTATATCTAGAAACTGAAAGTCACACTCATTGCTTTGGAAGCAAAGCAGAATTTCTCAAGTCAAAATAGTTAGCCATCTCTGTGAGGGAGCTTGGTGCCTTCTCCTGGGGTTTGGTAGGGGTCTCCTGTTCTATCCATTTTGTTACCTTTGAATTTGATTTCCATCACCTCATGAATGTTTTCCAGGATATCTCCATTGGGCTGAAAGGTGTGACATGGACAATGAATACTGATTTCCAGACCTAAGTTGGACTCTGCAAAATAAGACACAGAGCTGGTGAGAAAAGCATTTTGTGCGATCAAGGAGTGTACCCACCCACCCATGCATGGGAGGGCCAGGGCCTCTGCTGCCGTTGACAGTCAGAGGCACTAGCTCTACGTAGGAGACAAAGTGCTGCCGACGCTGGACTGGACCTTCACGCTCACGCTGCCACAATCCATGTGTTTCTGTTACATTCTAAACGACCAAATGGAGGCGTAAACTAGTGAGGATCGTGAAGGAGAATTTTAATAGTTATCTATTTTCAAAAGATGGTATTAGGAAAAAATTTTCACCTGCCTACTTGGAGGCAAAAGAATATGAGGATACAGGAAGGACAGATAAATAAAAAACAAAAAAACAAAAACAGTCACATCCCCTAGGCGTTTATTGGGATAGGAGATATTCAAGCCAACCTATCAAGAAGGGATGAAGGGAAGAGATAATGGGACTGGGAGACACCCGAGAATGGGGAAAACTGAAGAACTCTGGGGCAGAGAGGCAGTGATTCAAAAGGCCACAAATTCTAAGGGCCACAAGATGGGTAGAAGGTGGCACAGTCTGAGTCACGAGATTCAAAGTCAGGAAACAATACCAGAGCAAGGTCAGCAGCAAACAAGCGGCAGCATCAGTCTAGGTGGGTGCCAGCATTTCATCCACCATTTCTAGGTCTTATGCCCAGGAAGCCCATGGCCTGGTAGTCATGCCTCCAGACCCGAAGCCCTCAGAGGCAACAGAACAAAGTAAAAGGAATGCCAGCATTTCTACGGGGCTGTAGATCACAGAATAGTAGATCACAAAAGAGATAAGGTGAAAATCCGCCAGCATTTCTACGGGGCTGTGACTGCAGACATAGAATAGTAGATCACAAAAGAGATAAGGTGAAAATCATAGTTATACTTGGCTATATTTTCCTTCAGGAACAAGGACGTGATGAGGTAAAAGTTACTTCTTTTGGAATCCTTGTTCACCTTGATGGGAAATTGGAGATGTGGATGGCTCAAGGAGGGAAGACAGCTCAGGAAGACAGTTGCAAAACTAGACCGCAGGCTGGAGGAGAAGGCAGAGGACCATGGCCAAGGGTCCAGGTGCCGTGAGCTCGGAGAGAACAAGCACGAGGAAGCCTAGAGGTGCCAAGGTTTGGTGACTGATAATCTGGTACAAGAAGGCCAGCTCTGGTCCCATCTCCTATTAGCTGTGGGATCAGGTGTTTTGGTAACAAAAATGGGGGAAGCAAGGAAATTTGTAAAAGGGACTGAGTAAAGTGGAAGAAAAAAAGGAAGAGTAAGAAGTGAAAAATCTAAACTGAACCCAGTAGTTTTGTGCAGGGAAGCCATGTAGGACCTGGTATCATGTCAATTCTGGTGGGCAGGACAATTAGGGAAGCTCTGTTGATGCAGGGGCAGCAGCTAGCTGTAGTCAGGTAAAGGAGAGGTCATGGGGGTGACAGATGCCTCTGTGTTCAAGGTCAGCGTCTCAGAGAGCTGATTGATTTACTGCTCTCTGAGGCCACCCTAGTTCTGTGTGAGCCTCCAGCCTTGGGGCCAATCTGAGGTCTTTCTGAACTCTGGTGTCATCAGGGAAAACCCCAAAGAGTCCACGTCAGCTCAGCATCCTTCTCCCAGGCCCAGAGATTTCAGCCACTGTAATGTGGCAGACTTGAAGGTCCTAGTCCTACTGATTAAAAACCAGCTTAATCCTTTCTTCCATAAACTCAGAGCCCACCCTCATTTGTCCTGCCCCAAATTAGGGCAACCTCTGGCACACACTGATACCTGCTAAGCTTGAAGATTTTATGTTCCAGAAGGTCAGCTCTGATGAGGAGGTAAGGGGCCAATATACCAGAGAGCCTGAGCCCCAGCTAGACAACAAGGAGTGAATAGAAAGTGAGGCTTAAGACATGTCCCCTTCCTGGTTTAAGGAAGCTGAAAGAAGGAGCTGGTGTAGCCTAATGGATGCATCAAAGAGTAAGTATACTTCCCATTATCCAGAAGGGTCTAAGGTGAGCCAAGGGAGACCTGAAGTGCGCAACTCTGATTCTGTGAGTTAAAAAGTCAGGGTGCAGACGGATGTGCTGGGGAGAGTTAGGGTTAGGGTATAAGCAGTAGGCGTGAGATGGCGGCCCAGTTTGGCCAACAGGCTCTGTCTAGGTGGAGAGCTCAGAGAGGGATCACAATAATCAACATTTGTTGAGCATTACTACATGTCAAGCACCACTTTAAAACGTTCATGCATTAACTCATTTAATCTTTATAATCTACGAAGTAGAAACGTTTATTATCCCTCATTATACAGATGAGGACACTGAAGCTTAGGGAAATTAAATGGCTTGCCCAAGGTACTCAACCAGCAAGTGGCAGAGCCAAGATGCAAACACAGGTAGCCTGACCCTAGAGCCACATTCCTGATCGTTAGAGACAAAGAGGGACAAAGGGGCCACCAGAGACCACCAAAGAAGATGACCATACTCTCCTTGAGTTATAAGGTTGTGTTTTCCCAGTGTCCCACCTGTTCTGAGCCACAGTGCTGGGGTGCTGGGTGTGCTCCCTGCCCCGCCTGCTAGGTGAGGCCTGGCTCTGCACACAGAGAAAATGCAAATCGTGTGGAGAGAGGGCTCCAGTCATCTCTGGGACCCGGAAGGCAGCCTGGGAACCTGGTGCACAGTGGGCTCTGAGGTGTTTGCTGAATGAATGCAAGACCTATGTGTGACTCAGTTTCCTCATTAGTCCACAGTACCAGCTGCTCCATTCAGAGTCCATCTGCTGCCTCGTTTGGGGCCGCAAACTCTGAAGAGTCTCACGACCTCTGCATAAGCAAAAGTCTGTGTGTGGTTCCCCTATGCAAGGGGTAGGCAGCACCTCCCCTGGGAGGGAACTGAAGGTTCCAGTGACAAACTAACCTCAAAATTGGCAGTAGTGGGGATCGTTGCCGGGGGCGGGGGGGCATAGGTTTTATTACAAAATTATCTTTTTGATGTCCCAAGAAGGATGGAAATCATTCTCAGTGCAAACTTCTCATTGAGTTCTGCAGCTGTGAAAATAAGAACTCCTTCAAGTGCTCAGGGCTTCAAAGAAATCCAGGTGGAGCTGATCAAAATCAGACAGGGAAGCTAAGAGATTAATTTTCCCTGCCTCTCCTCTCTCTATCCATGTCGGGCTCTAGGCGGAGTACTGTCTGAGTCAGAATTCCCAGCAGTGCTGCTGTGAGCAGATCCATGTGGGTTCTCCTAGGCTTTTGCCTTCATGCTCGGTAGGGGAGATAGGATGGAATTCCCCATCTGCCAGCTCAGCCACCAGGTAACGAATGCCCCTTACATGGGACTTGCAAACTTGGACGCCTACAGAGCCCAGGCAGGTTATATAAGTGGGCAAAGTGTCATGCTTAAGTAGGGACTTCCAGCCTCCCCCTTGGGGAACACTGGGGAATGGTGGGGCCTGTAGTGACATGAAGAATGCATGCCCCACCTCAAGAGGCAGTCACTAACTCATCTCCAATGGATCATTACCAGAAAATCTTTCAATTTTTCAAGAAATGCCCGAAGTCTAGGTTTTAAGTAAAATCACTTAACTTAAAAAAAAAAACAACAAAAAACAAAAAAACTTGACCACTAGTTAAAACAATACCTAGGCCAAGCACTTTGTGATCTCTGCCTTAGAACCGTAACCCATAGTTTCCTAAAACACCAAGGACTGGGAAAGACCCACCTGCCCCAGGGACCCTGGACCTCAGTATTTGGATGGACTGTGGCTCTGAGGCAGCTGACAATGGTAGAAAACTCTTTGTAAGAGGGAGAGAAGGAGCAGATGGAACCACCATCTGTACCCCCAATGCCACCGAACACCAGACCAGGCGGTACCACCACGTAAAGAAGAACAGCTGAGTGTGATGTCACAAGGCACCGGGGCAGTCAGGAGACTCCAGTCCTAATCCAGGCTGGAGGACCTTGGTCAAATCACTTAACTTCTCTGGGCCTCAGTTTCCTTATCTGAGCCAGAAAAGTTTACTCTTGTGTAACACGCTGAAAGCCATGAAATTCTTTCAAATACGTTTGATCCTTAAAACAGCTTTGTGAGGCATGCGGGGAAGGAACCATCATTACCTTATTTTCCCAAGGAGAAAACAAGTGAACTATTTGGGACGTGTGACGTTTGCTCTGCCTATTGGACAGCTTACCTGGATGGCTACCAGGCCTTTCGAACTTAACCAGCCAAAACAGAACCTCCCCAAACCTGCTCTTCTTTCAGTCTTTCCTATTTCAATAAGTATTACCACCTGGGTGTTAAGACCAACATCTTAGAAGTCATCTAGACTCATCTTATGTCCTCATACCCCATGTGTAATCCACCTGTCCCATTGGCTTTACTTCTAAACTATAGAATAAATCCATATCACCTCCATATCTGTTGCCACTGCCCTAGCTGAAGCCCCTATCGCTCTCATCCAGGCTTCTGCAAAGCCCCTAACTGGTGTGGTGTCTCTGCTTCTTCCTTTGACCTCATGGCAACCAGAGGGCTATGGAAACCAAATCACCTCACCCCGTATCCCTAGCCCTGCTTATAACCTTCCTGGGACTTCTCATCACACTTGGATAAGTCCTAAAACCTGACTATGACCTAATAGGTCCGAAATCATATGGTCCCAGCTACCATTCTGACACCCCCCAGGTCCAGCCACACCAGTCTGCTGCTGCTAGAACAAATCAAGCTAGTTCCCACCTGGGGGCCTTGTTGTTTCTTTTGCTTAAAACATCCTTTATCCTGACTTTCACAGGCTGACTCTTTCTCATCATGCAGATCTCAAGGCACAAATTCCCTCTTCATAGAGACCCTCCCTGAGAGTCCACTGTTGGACCCCACCCAGTCATTACCACATCGCCCTCATTCTCTTTTTCATGGTACTTCTCACTACGTGAAATTCTTATTCGTCAATATGTTTATTTGTTTATCGTGTGTCTCTCCCACCAGAACAAAAGTCCCGTAAATCTGGGACCTCACCTGTCTTATCTACTGTCGAATCCAGGGCCTGGCTCAGAGTAAATATTTAATATATATTAGTTGAATGAATGAAGGATGAAGGACACAAAGAGAATCTGGCAAAGCCAAGCTTTGAACCCAGATTTGTGACGCCCCTAGTCTTCTTCCCTCTGTTTCATGAAGGACCAAGGGACCTGAGGTTCCTTCCAAAATGCTCATTCTCAGCATCCACCTACCTCTTCGTGAGAGCCATTCACGCACAGTGTCAGTGACATCAAAAGACAGCCACTCAGCAGTGCCCCGCGTGGGCAGATTCTTGCCACCAATATAGCGCTGTTTGGCGATGTGCTCATCTGGCCGGAGTATCTACGGGGCCGAGAAAGGAGTAAGTACCCAGACCTGGACAGAGTCCCGCAGCACATGTCACCATGCAGGAGGACAGGTGAGAGGAGCAAGAGGAAACTGAAAGTTGCCAAATGCTCCTTCAAGCATCTTAGTTAACTCTTAATCCTCTTAAAGACAGACACATACAGAAACAACGGCTCAGAGAAGGCAGGATTCACACCCAGGTCTGCAGAGCTCTGGGTGGAGTGGCGGCCTGATATGGCGAAGGAGCCAGCTTTCCCATCTGGCTGGTTTCTGTTCTGGGAGGGGGTTTACCTGGAAGAGCTCGATCCTCTGCTCATTGCGCTTGGAGCTGGGGTTGGGCACCCGCAAGACCCGGAATTCTGCTCGGAACAGGTTGGTTCCGTTTTTCTCCACTGAGGACACGTTGAAGCGGAAAACCTTGGAGGTGATTCCTTTGGGGCAGACAGCCAGCTCGTCTAGGAGACAAAGCAGCAGAGACAGATGCAGCATGAGCAAGACCCACGGGAGCAATGTGCTGCCAACAGACACTCGCCGAGTGTCTCGGTACCACTTGTGACCTTCCTAGGAGCTTGAGGCCTCAGATCTAAAGGTGGAGATAGGAAGATGATCCATGGTGGCCCTGGAATCACACTCAGGCCTGAGAGAGGAGCAGAGAGACCTCAGAACCTGAGAGTATGGCACTAAAGACTAGCCAGTCAAATGTCATCACCCCTTTGCCCATTGCCTCGACATCCCAACTCTGGCAGGTTCTCCAACCTGCTCTTTCAACTCTCTTAGAAAATACAGATTCTCAAAAGATCTCAGCCATGCCCCCTAGTAGTTTAATCGTCTGATAGCTAATGTATTCATGTGTTTGTTCATTCAGGAATTCATTCATTTATTGAACATTTATTGAGCAGATATGCGCCAAGGATAGTGCCAACACTAGGAAGCAAAAATGAATAGACATAGCCCCCGCCTTCAAGGAGATTAATATCCAGGGGAGGCTATTTCTACATGGACCCAAATAACAGGACCACAGGGATGAGTTTGAAGACCTTCGGAGAAGCCCAGGAGTTGCTGCAAAGAGATCAGAGGAGGGAGAGAGCAGAGAGCATTTCATGGGAGAGGTGATATTTGAGCTGGGTCCTGCAGGAGGAAAGCGTGTGAGGCCGGAGAGGAAAGACATTTCACATAGAAGGATGCTAGAAGCAAAGTTAGGGAAAGGGGAAAGTGCCAGTGAACAAGAAGGACCTCAAGCGGCCGGGCTGGGGCAGATGAGATGAGATGAGGTCAAGGAAGGAGATTGGGCTCCACCAGCAGGGAAGCTAAAATGTCAGACAGATGGGTTGGATTTTATCCTATTAACAGTAGGGAGCCATGGAAAGTGTCATAACAGCACGGTGACATAATCAACACTGTGTTTTAGACCTAATGAGGCAGAATTGGTCTGGCAAAGAATCCAGATCTCGAACCTGGCAGACCCGCAGATGTTTCTTCAGGCTGAGATGGTCAGTGACCATTTGCTCCTTTCTCTTGAAGGGTTTCTCTCCTTGCCAGCATGTGCTATGCCAGCCTGTCACCCCCACGGCCTCTTCAGCCCTGTCCATGAGACAGAAGGCAGCAAATGCTCTTTCCCACCCTTTAGAGCCAGATAAAGGGAAGGGAAAGATCCTGTCTTTTCTCCTGTACACTTCTGAACAGCCTTAACACTCAGAGAAAAACTTTCTACACAAATGGTAACAATAGACAGAACTTGAAACTCAAGCTCAGAGACCCAGATTCCACACATAATGGACATGGCTGAAATGAGCTCATAATCACCCCGAGGGGTGGTTTAGGAAGTCACGGACAAGGCGGGAAGGATCAGAGGCCTGGAAACAAGCAAATGCGCTACTGATCTTTAGGAAAAGATGAGTGAATGTTTCTGGAAATTGCCATCTGGTGGGCCTGACACTGGTTCTTAGAAAATTAATGGAACAGATGTTAGGAAAACAAATGTGTGAAGGCTGGCTAATGAAGCCCTGATTAATAATTGGCTTCGAAAGAACAAATACTGCCAACTATTCCCTGAACCATTTCAGATAGAAACAGAAAGAAGAATCATGATGGCAATTTAATTTTTAAGTTTGCAAGTTTGCAACCTTCCTGACACGGATGAGCTACTTGGACTAGCAACCCTCTCAAGTACTGACATACTTGGTTCTTGAAGGAGCTGTCATCAACATAGTTTCCCTTGTAATAATACCTCCAGTAACTGTTGAAAGAGGGAGTAAAGGGTATGTTAGAGCAATGTGCTCGTTGCTGTAAAAAAGAAAAGGGGAACAGAAAATGGCACATGCCAGTGAGGAAAATCAGAGTGGGGTCAAGATGGTGGGAAGCCATCCTTCCTTGGTTTCTTCCAACCCGTCAATCACATATCACATATAAGATGGACTCCTCTTTGTGAGAATTTCAAGGAGATTTCAAGAAGAAGGTGAGAAGGCTCATTTCTTTATCACTAGGGTCTACAGTTTTCTAATAGAGTTAGAGGGATGATCAGGGTCATCTAGTGCAACTCTCTTCAGCTGCAGGGACTGATGTCCAGAGGGGTCCTGGCCAGGGCTGCATGTGAGCACACTGACTCTAGTAAACAGAGCTCAGACACAGTCGTTATTGATTAAAAAAGAATTTCCTAGGAGGAAAAAAAATGTAGATATAATCTTCTTAACAATTAAATCCACTGAATAATAATAATAATGATTTTTTAAAAAATTTGTAGCATGAGAGTGTAAACAAAATGTAATAACACCACCTTACATTTCAAAGAGCTTTTATTAACTCATTTGACTCTTTAACAATGCTTGAAGAAAATGAGAATAAGTAAAATTTGCCATTTTACAAATGAGAAAAGTGAGCCTCAGGAAAGTTAAATGACTTTCCCAAGGTCACTCAGCTAGTAGGTTGCAGAGGTGGGATTTAAACCCAGGTATTCTGACCTCATTTATTGAAGCAAAGACTCTGGAAGTTGGAGAGGACCTGAGAGGTCTAGTGTGAGATGATTCACCCGCCTGATGTGGCCGGATTCCATGAAATGGGTCTAGAGTACAGACCCATGCCCCAGCCGAGGGCCAACTTCTAGTCGGTTTTGTGACTAAGCCCTGCTTCTGCAGAACACTAGTATCATTGAGAGAGAGCTGGACTAGAAGGTCGACCTTTACCAATGGAATTACGACCAACTTTTTCCATTACATACAAAATATATAGCTTGACGGCTGCCATTTTCCCATTTGTGCTATAAGGAAAGAAGAACTAGAAAAAAATATGCATGTAGAGTATTCATGGAAAAACCTGGAAACAGCTGACCATGTTCAGACCATACCTTTTAAAATGTTTTCAGACGCCTGGGCTCATAGATAGGCCTTTGCTTGTACACATCGTTTCTGTTAGTAAATTACTGCTGGTTCCAATGATGAGACCACATATACAAGTGTGACTGAGCTTCTTTACCTTGCTGTACATCAGAATCACTTGGAGATCTTTAAAAGCAGATGCTGCCTGGACCCCATTCTCCAGTAGAGATTCTCACTACATTGGAGTGTGGGTGAGTCCAGAGTTTGCTTCTTTTTTTTTTTTTAAGATCTCCAGATGATTCTAATATACAGTCAGTGCTGAGAACCACAGTTTATAGTGCTCTGCAAAGGGTACCATGGCTTCCAGATGTTCTGAAAGTTTGAGAAACCACAGCTTTAATGGTTTAAAACTTTAAATGCGTTAACTTTTAAATGTATTAGGCATGCTCTTTGTCCAATGCATCACTTTTAAAAATTTTGAATTAGAAGCCCATAAACATTTTAAGCCTGTTGGGAAAATTCACAGAGAGATCCAGATTTTCTGCTCTTCTGGGAAATGGTAAGATCTAGTCAAGCTGAACCCACAGTCCTAACTGTAAAAATCAGCGGGAGCTGTGTAGTGGGTGCCTCTTTTTAATGGGGGACATGTGTGTTCCAGGTTCCCCGCACCAGCCTTCCCTGCACATTCTATTCTCTCCTTGACCCAAGACCAAGTGTCCTGTGCAGTTTGCCATGGTGCTTGGGTTTTTCTTCTAGATTTGCATTCGCTGCCTAGCCTCTGTGGGCACTTCGCTTGCAGCCCCTCAAGGAAAATTTTACCCTAGCAAAAGTCTTTAGCTTTAATAAGTTTAAGAAGTAATAGGAAAGCTTTCTTGAAAATACAGATTCCCCAGGCCCAACTCCCAGGCTTCTGATTCTGTGAGGTGAGGTGGGGCCTGGGAATCCACAGCTTTCACATTTACTTAGCCTCTGGACCACACTTGGAGAAACACTGACCTAGTGCGCAGAGGGCATTGGCACTAGAACAAATGAGTTCTTTCAATACAGCTCTTGATTTTCAGAATGAACAAAATCTAAATGTAGCAGCCAGAAAAAAAAAAAGGAAGGCTAAAATATCCAGTTTTCAATCTGCTCAGGAACTCTGGGTTTGCTGGTTCTCTTTGCCGCCCTTAGATGAAAGCAAGAGTCTTTCCAGACATAGGTAATTACAAGCCAGAAGATAAAAGGACGCCCACACTGGTGACATCTTGATAATAAGAATGACATAGGAACTGAAAAGGCTATGTCCCAGACCACGCGGGTCAGAGAAAGTCTCGACCCACTCCCCTTAGCAGAATCCTGGAGAATTATAAAAGATTACGGCTTTGCCTTCACTCCCCAGCAGAGACTGTGTTCAATCATCTTAGACGTAACCTTAAAATTGTTTCAGCTAAAAGGCCTTTGAGATTATCTCTGACTTTGCAGATGAGGAAACTGAGGCTCAGGGAATTGACTTGCCTAATTCTACATGGTGTACTTCCTTTATCTGCCTGAGACTTCATTAGATAAAGAAAAACCCTTTCACTGAATTTGGGAGAATGTTTGTGGAAGTGTGAATCTCCTGGCCGTGAGAATAGGCAGAGCTAAGAAAGAACGTACCCAGTTATCCCTCTGTAATCTACCACCAGAGTTACTGAGAGAATAGCTCCTATCCCCTCCTGCTTGGAACATTTGATTCATTCATGTTGTTAATCAAAGTTCTATTGGAGCCTAAAGGTTAAAGGTAGGACTTATAATGTGTATTCTGCACATCTGCATTAGTGCTTAATAGCATGCATTCTGCAGACAGAATGACTAGGTTAGAGTCCCTGCTCTGTGGGGACAAATTACTTAATTTATGCACATTTTAGTCTCTTCATTTGTAAAACTAGGAAACCAGGGTACCTTTCCAACAGGGCAGAGCCAGAGGATGGGCCCTGCCCTCTCTACTCTCATCTTGGTGCCCTTTCTCCTGCACCACTGAAAATTATTCCTTGCTGCACTATGCCCTCAGGCACTCCTGTCTCCTTGCCCCAGCTCCTGCTGTCACTTCCCTCCCAGTGCCTGGGTAAGGGAGGGGGCTGGGAGTGACAAAATGTGGAAGAGAATGTGATTTCATCCCCTCCCAGCAGAAGCTCTGGCATGCGGACCCTGTCAATGCCCCAGCACAGACCCTGTGCCACCCCCTGCCTGTCTTCGGGAGTTCGAGACAGGCTTCCCTCACTCCAAGCCTCTGATGATGACTCTCTGGTCCCGCTTAACATCTGTTGGGCGTTTGCATCTGCCCACTGCCTTCTTTATAAGTAGTGTGCCTTGTGCATCTGCCTCTCCAGGGCTGGCTCAGCACCTGACCAGCTGCAGGGCGGGCCCAGGCCGTGTCTGCTCAGCCTCTGTGTCACCTCCAACAGCTGCAGAGAGTCTGGCCCTGCTTCCTGTTTGCACCTGCGAGCCTCCATGGCATTGCCTGTGTCTCCCTGGGTCCTGCCTCCCACTCCACGACGTCCCATGTAGCATCCTGCTCACTGCGCCAGGTTTGCTCCCTGCCTGACCACAGCTCCCTGCCCCAGGGCCATCCCTCCTGCTACAGTTTCAAGGTCCTGGTGCTGCAGCTGGAGCTGCCTGCTTCTACACGGCCTTGCCCTGGCTTTCCCCAGGGCTATTCACTATTTGTGCCCTGAGTCTCTGCACAAAATTGAGGTCTACTGGTACCTGCATGCCCTTGCATCTATCTGGCTCATTCATTCTCGGCTGGGGATTCCAGGCTGGGTGGGCCCTGGTGATTCAGAATCCATCCTCCCTAGGACTCCTCCTCCCAGACCAGATCATTAAAGTCTCAGTTCTTCCCTATTGCCCGGGACTCTCCCCAGACCTCTCCTGCAGGCCTCAGCTTTCCACTCTCCTCGATATTTATGGCCACTAATACTCCTGCCTTTATGGGTACCCAGGGGGTTGGGGGCTTAGCCATGCAGCTGCTGGTGCCTCTGGGAATTGTGGGCCCTTGGCAGACCCTGAGTCAGCCCCCGCTAGAGGACCCTGGGCAGGGAGCACTAGTTCTGCCTTGTCCTCCAGCCTCCGCCCCACACGGTAGCCACATCCTAAGGCAGGGCACTCCAGGCAGCCACAGGAAACTGGAGTGGGAACCTCTCGCCAGTAACCACAGGCTCCTGGGCCTGGCGTGGGCCAGCTCCCACTGGGGCTTTTTGCACCTTCAACCAGAGCCGGTCCACCCATCAGCCACTTACTCCTCTCTTTTCTCTCTAGCTAGGTTCCTTTCAACCCCTGCAGCACCCCCGCCCTGAGCATCCTCACCCTGCCTGCTCCATCTCACCTTCCAGCTCCCTCTCAGGGCACTGCCCACTTCCCAGGTGAGCCAGGGCTGAGGTAGTCAGGGTGGTGAGGACACCTGCTGGTAGGAAAAGCAAACAGAGCTGCTCTCAGAGTCCCTGGCCCACGACTGGCTCACATTCCTCCTTCCTGGGCTGTCAACATCTGCCAAATCTCTCTCTCTCATGTTGAGGTTTTTTAAATCCCCGTTCAGTAAACACACATGACTTCCACACGTGTACAAACACACAGACGTCTCACCCAGAAGCCTCCCGGCTCCTCAGCACAGACAGGAGCCTCCTGGGAGGACACACTCCCAGACACACGCCCCCTCTGCACCCACAGCCACACCTCCCACCCACTCTTCCCGTGACACGCAGACACGAAAGGGCCGCCAGCAGTCGTTTACATATCCAGAGCCACAACCCTGCTTTCCCTGTGTCCACAGGCCTGGAAGACACCCATTTTGAACACATGAATCTGTCTACTGTACAAAGCCAGACTACGCATCTCCCTAAAGCACATGTACATGTGAACAGAGGTGCGTACCCTTCCCCCACGCCCAAAGCTCACGTGAGTCACGTGTGTGGCAGAGACTGAAGGACCCAGACAGCAAGAAGCTGCCTCTTGCCTGGGCTTCAAAAGCTTGACAGACATTCATTTGGGGCAGATACTCTTCTTCCCAAAGACTGGAAAAACTGAACCAGAGACGTGTCACAGCGAGTTATGAAAAGCAGAGAGAAGACCAAGGTCTCTAGATTCCTGGAACAGTAGGGCTTGAGAGAGAGCTGGCCCTGCCCCTCCATGGCACCTATATGCTTACAGCTAACGATCTGCTCGCATGTGTGAGAGCACATATGTTAACGGGACAGCACAATGCAACTCCAAATTAAAATCAGTCAAGGATGTGATGTGAGTTCAGCAAACCGCTCAACTCCAGGACTCCTGCCTCCCCCGAAGGCGCCAGGCTCTAACCAGAATGGCTCTGTCTGCCTCCCCACCCACCTCCCCAGCCCCAACTGCGCATCACACCTCCTGAGCCTCGGTGCTGGTGAACCCCGGGCACTCTGTTGTGTGGCCATGGCTAGGCCCCTTTCCATGGAACTCCCTACTCCAGTTCAGACCCTCCAGAGCGGACACCCCGGCAAGAATTGGACTTACTGTGCTCCGCCAGCCCCTGGATCATGTCGAATTTATGGATTTCTTTGGCATAGTACTCCCACTCGGTGTTTTCCTGAGTGCAGCCGTCCTCCCTCTCCTCTAGCAGCTCCCGGGTGCTGTTGTAAAGGGCCAGGATCTGGTAGGGGACGTGGGTCATCACCGATGGCTCAGGGGGACTGGTGAGCCTGAGTTTGCTCAAGATCTGTCCCCTAATGGCTTCCACCCTCTTCTTCTTGATGTGGCTGAAGTCCAAGGTGGTGCAAGTGGACAGAGAGAGGCTGACCGTGGCAA